CGAAACGTCGTGATCTATTATTATTATTTTTCTACCCACGTGACTTTACCGAAAGAACCAAAGAGTATGGTTTGTTGTCCTTCCCCCACACCTCCAATTAGCACAGTTGGCTACCTGCGGTGCGAAGTAAGCTTAAAATACGTATCTACACACATTGGTCCAATTGTAATTTTGGTTTATGCATGTGTTGCGTGCTACGAGGGGTTGAGATTTGTGACACAGCGATTGATTTGTTTCCAGCAAATGGAAATTAATGAACCTTGGGATTTGAACTGTCCCTTGAGTGGACTCCAATATGAATCCTCCGATTTAAAGGTTGAAATGCATCCCTCGGTCAGGGACCTGTGAGTTTTGAGTCAGCATTGTGGAAATGAGCAAAAGCGTCCTCAAGGACTGAGAACTCGTCCATCATATGAGTGGTGGAGATAGATCCCAGACCTTCTCAAAGGAAACGGACTGGTATGCCAACAACAGCTGCAGGTTATCGGGACTTGTGATCACCAGAATTCGCTGTGGTTATTGTATGGCGATAGTGGCATTTGTGGCACACTTTAGATTGTAAATTGTTTTTTCAGCAGTCTGATATTTGGACGAGAGGGCTGTTTTAATGTGTAATTGGAAATTGTTGGGGAAATTGTGGTACTTCTTCCCCATTCAGTAATAATGTCCATTACACATGTTTATATTTGTAAACAATATAGTCACCTAATTTCCTTAAGTCAATTATAGGCACATGCACAATGTGCATTTATGACTTTTGCCCATTTCACTTTTTTTTCTTGAAAAGGCGTGCGCTCAATTTGAGTCATGCCGTTCTCATTAGCAGCTTGCGGCGGCTGTAAAAAATATGTGTTCCTGATTTGTGCGTCATTTGCATTCCTTTTATCATTACCAATGAAAATACTAAAGAAATGAACATGCTAATTATTAATTTACCGTCAAATTCTCATTAGAAGATTTTCATCCAAATTGCACCCTGGTTGTGCTCTCGTTGTCACGCCAAGAGACGAAGTATCCTCAGGGTTCTCTCGCCCAGCAGTGCTTCCCTTCGCGTTGTAGAATGGCCCACGGAAGCAAAGTACTACAGGGCTACCGCTTAAGGCCCCCTTCCCAGAATTTTCGTTTGTTTTGTTTAATCTTGGCCCAAGGGAAGAGACTGGTCAATAATGGCATTTTCCTCCTGCGCAATGACTGCTGGGAAAAAAAATCCCAGCAATCAAAGATGTGAATATGCTCGAATACCAGATTTCAGGATCAACACAGTCAAGTAATACATTTTTATTCAACCAGGCAAGGCCCACTGAGCTTTTCAGATAGCCCAACGAGGTGGCTTATCACGTGGAAATTTTGTAGCAGCCAAATACTCGAAACACACGTTTCGAAATGTGGCGGGAAAAACCGGAGGGCTGGGAAAAAAATCCACACGACCACGAGGAGAACAATTTAGTGGCTTATCACGGGGAGAACATGCTAACTCAAAATATACAAGCACCAGGGTCTGGATCGAATCCACATCCTCCTGTATAACAGGCGAGGTAGTTAGCGCCTCACCACCAATGGCGAGATACGGTAGTTTCTGGACTGATTGGATGTCTCCTTGTTGCTGTACTCACATCAAAAAGAGTACAGTTTGGATCTCCAGACACCCTGGCTACCTTCAGCTGTGTTTTGGACACCAAAACAAAGTAATGGCTTTGCTCTTGTACCTGGGACAGTCTGGTGCCCGGCACAATTCATATCCGTACTAACGAGGCAGAATATCCTCTTTTAACTTAAAAAATGAATGTCATCATCATTGTCATCATCGTCATCGGCCGTGATCAATACACCGCTGGATGGAGGCCTGTCCAAGCCAGAATTGTAACAATGCTACAGTGAGGGAAAAAATAATGTAATCCCCTGCTGATTTTGAACGTTTGCCCACTGACAAAGAAATGATCAGTCTATAATTTTAATGGTAGGTTTATTTGAACAGTGAGAGACAGAATAACAACAAGAAAATCCAGAAAAAACGCATGTCAAAAATGTTATAAATTGATTTGCATTTTAATGAGGGAAATAAGTATTTGACCCCCTCTCAATCAGAAAGATTTCTGGCTCCCAGGTGTCTTTTATACAGGTAACGAGCTGAGATTAGGAGCACACTCTTAAAGGCAGTGCTCCTAATCTCAGCTTGTTACCTGTATAAAAGACACCTGTCCACAGAAGCAATCAACCAACCAGATTCCAAACTCTCCACCATGGCCAAGACCAAAGAGCTCTCCAAGGATGTCAGGGACAAGCTTGTAGACCTACACAAGGCTGGAATGGGCTACAAGACCATTGCCAAGCAGCTTGGTGAGAAGGTGACAACAGTTGGTGCGATTATTTGCAAATGGAAGAACCACAAAAGAACTGTCAATCTCCCTCGGCCTGGGGCTCCATGCAAGATCTCACCTCGTTGAGTTGCAATGATCATGAGAACGGTGATGAATCAGCCCAGAACTACACAGGAGGATCTTGTCAATGACCTCAAGGCAGCTGGGACCATAGTCACCAAGAAAACAATTGGTAACACACTACGCCGTGAAGGACTGAAATCCTGCAGCGCCCGCAAGGTCCCCCTGCTCAAGAAAGCATATATACATGCCCATCTGAAGTTTGCCAATGAACATCTGAATGATTCAGAGGACAACTGGGTGAAAGTGTTGTGGTCAGATGAGACCAAAATGGAGCTCTTTGGCATCAACTCAACTCGCCGTGTTTGGAGGAGGAGGAATGCTGCCTATGACCCCAAGAACACCATCCCCACCATCAAACATGGAGGTGGAAACATTATGCTTTGGGGGTGTTTTTCTGCTAAGGGGACAGGACAACTTCACCGCATGAAAGGGACGATGGACGGGGCCATGTACCGTCAAATCTTGGGTGAGAACCTCCTTCCCTCAGCCATGGCATTGAAAATGGGTCGTGGATGGGTATTCCAGCATGACAATGACCTAAAACACACGGCCAAGGCAACAAAGGAGGGGCTCAAGAAGAAGCACATTAAGGTCCTGGAGTGGCCTAGCCAGTCTCCAGACCTTAATCCCATGTAAAATCTGTGGAGGGAGCTGAAGGTTCGAGTTGCCAAACGTCAGCCTCGAAACCTTAATGACTTGGAGAAGATCTGCAAAGAGGAGTGGGACAAAATCCCTCCTGAGATGTGTGCAAACCTCTGTGATTGCCAACAAGGGTTTTGCCACCAAGTACTAAGTCATGTTTTGCAGAGGGGTCAAATACTTTTTTCCCTCATTAAAATACAAATCAATTCATAACATTTTTGACATGCGTTTCTCTGGATTTTTTTGCTGTTATTCTGTCTCTCACTGTTCAAATAAACCTACCATTAAAATTATAGACTGATCATTTCTTTGTCAGTGGGCAAACGTACAAAATCAGCAGGGGATCAAACACTTTTTTCCCTCACTGTATGTCCAACTGTATACATAGCAATGTCAAGTTGAAGCCAGGTTAAATCTCACAGAGATTTAGGACTTTCTGAGGCAGGTTCATGCATTGATACGTTTGGCATTTGGAAGGACACTGAAATGAGCACTTACCGTTCACAATGGCTTTACTTAACAAACCTACCTCGGTGGAACCGTCCTCACGATGGAAGAGTGTGTTGGCTAAGCCCATCTCTTTGTGGGATGTAGTTTGGTCGTACATGTTAAATATATCGTTTATTGTTAAATTTGAATCACAGTTCTCATGATTACTGTTGTTACATTGTATTTTATAGCTTTATTTTGGCGATTTCGAAAACATATGGTTAAGCCATGTTCCTTGCGGAAGTGCGGGGTTGGCCTGATAACTTTAATCTAAATTGTCTTATGGTTGTTATAGTTTGACTCGCATCACACTGGGATTTTTGCACGCAGCGTTGTAACACGGTGTTTTTTTTGTGGAAGGTTTGCTGGTTTATCCAGGATGTTTCTGTTGCGCGTCGTCGCTTTAAGATGTTCTCATATTTATGTTTGTTGCGGCTGCACCCAACTCAAGAGCCACATGGCTCACAGGGCTATACCTAATAAATACAACTTGAAACTTGATTACCCCTTGGCATAGCAAAGTGGAATTCACATGACTGTCTTAGGGCAGCCAAACATTTATGATCACCACCGCATGCATATTTGAACAAAAGAGGCCCAGACTTTTATTACATTTGTCTGAAAAAATCAGGAGACATGTACCAAGACTTTCTGTTTGAAACGTGGTGGAAAATAATTGTGAAGATGGCGCAGCTCTGTCTCTTCACTAAGTGCAAGAAACACAACGATGAAAATGCATTCGTGATGAACAAAAATGTGGGCTAGATCGCGTGGACGCAAATGTGTCGTACACCCACCTCCACCGAACGCAGCCTATGGTTGCCACGTGAACATTTATTACGACTTCAGCACACCGGTGTGTTACAATTCAGCACAGTAATGCATCCCTCGTTTAACGTGATAGATGTGTTCCTTAAAAAAGCGTTAAGCGGAAAAATGTCCCCATAAATAATGTAATGATAACGTTTAGTGAGGTACAATGTACTACTACTACTACTACGCACACATGGTAAGATGGTTATGACCAATAACTGAGGGTAGGCCCGCTGCGTTACTCTATCATTCCACGTACCGCATCACTGCACCGCTCAGCCACGCAACCCAAGAAACGAGTTCATTACCGACCGCTCAGAAACCGCATTCGAAAGGTTGCGTGTTCCACGTTATAATGGTGTGCATTCCGCGTTGTGAGAAAGGCGTTGCCGAATGGAAGAACCGCGTTTTAGCGAAAACGCAGCTAGCTGTCGTGTGAACGCCACGGAGGAACGCGAAAACTGGACGGTACGACATCTACGTTGCCGATTACAACCAGCAACCACCAGGCATTTCCCAGTGATGTGAAGGCGTCTTCCCGTTGCGGGCCTTAAAATAACGCAGTCGATCCAAGTGGCGCCTCTCGCTCGCTGCTCGCCGGGCCGTGCATCGTACCTTTGTGTTTTTTGGAGCCGTCCCGCTTCGGGGCGTCGCACGAAGACGAGGACGGGCTGTGTTGGCCTTGGTAGGCCATGCCGTAGTCGGACGAGGAAGGGGAAGAGCTGGCCAAGCCTCCATAGTCGTCGATGTCATCGTCCTCGGGCGGGCGCTTGATGGGCGGAGCGTGAGTCAGGCAGCCGCGGCTACTCATCGCCACCGCTCCTGAAAGCGGGAAGGACAGTCGGCAGTGCAGCACCGCGCCATTACTCAACTACATTATGGGGTGGGCAGCCTGGGGACTGAGTAGTCAGCTAGCTTTGGAGGGCAGATCTCTTTGAAGCCCGCCTTGTTTTAAAAAAATAATCATTTCCATTGACGGTGCCACTCAAGTGTTAGGGGGAGTCAGCCGTGCAACTCCAAAAATGTGTTTAAATGTTTGCGGAGTTGGGATTTTTGACTATGGGAGTTGCCACTAACTGCGGGAAGGGTCATAAATTTGAGGATTTGCGGATGCTTGGAATTTCACCGCACTCTACCGAAGAAGTGACTCCTTACAGAATAAGAGGCAATGCACGTGGTAAGAATTCAATAAGGTATTTTCTTCACCTCGCCACGTAACACCTGTAAAGCACAAACTGGCATAAATAAAATGGGGATTGAAGATAAAAAAACTGGTACATGCAACCCACGTATGCTCCCTGCTTAAAAAGTGAACATGCACATGTCCAGCAGAGAGATGGTGCTCTTACTTCTGAACGACGTTATGGAGTCAACCAGCAGAGCACACTCTTGTGTGTGTAGGGAGACAAGATAAGAAATGGCACTTAACTTGACTCTCATGTGGAATACTGAATTGTTTGCCCTGGCTACGAGGAAGCCAATTTGCACCCATTTTCAGTAGTGCATTACACATGTCGCAAAAACTAGCACAAAAGGCTATTTAAATTAGCCATTACACAATTCGCCCTTTGACAATTTGGCTTTACCAATTTTCGGGTGGGGTAAAATTACCAATGTTCCCAGTCTGTTAAATGTACCGTCTCTCAAAAGCACTTTGGGTTATTTATTTTTCTTTTTTTCATCAGGGGACAGAAAGGAGAGGGGTGGGGGGGGGATAAACACTTTTAGAAATTCAACCTGCTCGTCTTAACATAGTTGGTGGTTTAGAACTGGAAGATGCATGTCAAAGATACAACGCATATTTGAACACGGTCCGTCAGTCGGTATAGACATTGCACGAGTGCAATGTCAATCTTCCCTCCAGCTCTTCTCTCGTGCCAGTTTCACCCATCTGTATTATGTGTGCCTAAAGGTTTTGCGATTGCCAGTAAATGCAGTGGCAAGCGGTCATAAAACTGTAAATTAGGTCACGAATATAATTCACTGCCTAACAAATCACCAAGCATACACTAGGAAATGTTAACACTAATTAAGCCTTAGATAGCTTTTGCATGCCATTTACTGAAACTAAAGTTACACCGAGCTCCCATTTATGTACATGGATGATTCAATTTGCAGCCCCGAATTCCCACTGATATGTATGTGCATGCACATCATGTGTGTGCTCTTATTCACTTGCATGCAAATCAATGAGGCCGGCCAGAACAGGGCAGCTGGGTTAGACCAGCATGGGATGTCCCCCCCCCCCCCACTACCTTGAAGATCTTTGATAATCTGCTTTAGTTTGGCCGATTCAGTTGGATGGAATTTACACTGAATGTTAAGAATGTTAAATACGTTACGGAGCCACTGAACCACTTAAGGTTATTGAACATATAAAACAAATAAATAAAATTACACTCATGCTAGGAATTAATACAGTGAGTACCTGTCACGTACATAACCTTTGCAGGGCATGAAAACGTGCAGGATGACAGTAAAAAAAAACGTTTGGGTCACTTAAAGTTTCAGATTTGTGTTTTCATGCGCACAGGCATTTGTTTTGCACTGTGTGTATATGATTCACGCACGCTACTCAATGCTACATTAAAAAAACAAAAGATTATGATAATTGCACTTGAATTGTAACAGCATGATGACTATCCTTGAATTGCAACAGCAATTTAATGTAAAATTTTCCATAAAGCTACAATGGTATCAAATATACTCAAAAGGCACCGATGAATAACCAACAATTTCAACTGCACAGCACCTTAATATAATATGCATCATCAATATACAGACAGCCTGACCTGATGAGTGACAAAAGCAATGAAAATGTCAAAGAGCTGCACTGCTTACCTGCCATAGCCTGCACTTCAGCTGCCCTTGCTCATTATGGTCCATATATACAAAGAGATCCCTCTGCAAAGGCAAACATTAAACAAAATATCACTTTTCAAATGCAGAGCATTACTTCACAATGTCAATGGTTGCACCATCAGAGCTGTCAACCCCCTGCCATCTTTCATAACCGAAGCCAAGCTGCCGCACAGATAATTAGTTCTCGCAGTATTCTGGCAACAGTCCGTGACACTGAGAAGCGGCTTCGACCAAGCACTCACGTTTCAGAGTACATTCCATTCCCTTCGTTTGGTATTCCAGGAAACAGAATGTACTCACTAACGCAGGGTTCATCGTCTCAACTCAGTCACCATACAGTCCCACAAATATGCCCATAGCAAAAGATCCCACCCCCCCCCCCCCCCCCCCCCCGTATAGCCTAAGCATACCGTTGGGGCAAGTGCTGTTAGCGAGCACCTACGAAGGCCGGAACGGCACACGAGGGGGTGGGTGGCCAGCAACCACGCCCGACCGCCTTTGTCTCCCAAGTGCCGACGTTTACACACCGTACCAGGTACTCGTTTGAGGCTGAGTCAACCTAGGGGAGCCCCAGGACCGATTCAGATCATTGTCACCGGTGTTGGCAGTGAGCAGGAATCAAACTCGGGTCGCCAGATTCATAGTGTAATGCGCTAACCGCTACACCCCCGCTCCCTAGCACACACACACACACAGTCACACATTTACAGAGTAAATGCTTGAAGGTATCTTTATGTTCGTTTTTGCCAAAAGGCTCCGGATTCGTCCGTCTCTTTAAAGTATATATTTTTCTTGAAAGCATACTATGCTGATCACAGCAGAATAAAAACAAATGTAAAGCCAGTCAATTAAGGCAGAGTATGTTTGTCTTTGCACAAGGAGAAACGATTAACTGCACTTTAATATTCAAGTATGTCAGTTTACTGAGAATTTCAAGATGCGGCTTTTGGTTTCAGCTTGCCTTGTAGAATGTCCATGCAAGGTTTGAAAGACAACGATTTTGAGATAATTTTCCATGTGCATATATTACACGCATTTATTTTTAATACTGATGATCAATTATATACACAATGAATTTAATGTACACGTTCTGGAGAGTGTTATGCAAGTTGAAATGGACCGTATTGGTAAATTCATAATAATTATTGACTATAAAACACAATATTTAGAATATTGCGATGTACATTTCCAACCGGTGAGATGCTTTGCATAGAAACCAAGTTTGTAGCCCATCCTTTATGCATTTTCAATTGGATAAAATCGATGAATATGAACAGATCTTTTGTGGTGCACTATAAAGGTTTGAATACTGGAAATACAATTATTAATCTTGTCCTCAAATGCACCCAAAACAACATCCATACGAGGCAGTGTAATGTAGCACGAGAGCCCTTTAACTGCCTACAATTGACCCTCATCATCATCAGCCATGACAAATCCGCCGCTGGATGAAGGCCTCCCCCTCGCCGCTGCCACCCCTCCTCATGATCCCGCGATGCAACGATCCACTCAGCACCTGCACACGAACTGATCTCATTCGCTGCAGCTCTTCGCTGGACAGCCTCATGGACGCGTTTCTTTCCTTTGGCTGCCACTATTATTATTCTTGATCATCAGCCAACGTCCCTTCCAGTGCAGGGTCCTGTCTCAGCCTGCTTTTTTCTTAATCAGTTGAATGAAGTCATCGATCTGCATGTGTTTTATAAATCCATATGTCCCTCCCTGTCTCTCAGTGTAATTCCAAACACGCCTCTGCGCACTTTTCCGTTTTTGTTTGAATTCTTTAGCTAATGACCACGTTTCCTGAACCATGTGTCACAGCCGATGGAACACGTCGATTAAAAATGTAGTGACCAAAATTTTGGAGACGAAACTTATCCTCGCTTTTTACTGGTGTGAGTGCATCGGTAACACGTTTGTAATGGGGGCGCTTTAATTCCTCTTCCCAAAGTTCTTGTGTACTCACAAACCAAGTGGCGCGTGTGGTATCGATCAAGAGCATCACAACAGGGTTATAGTTTATCCACGGCTGAGGCCCTGGATTCAAAGCCAAGCAGGTACAAAAGGTTAAGCAAAGCTCCAGAGTGCAGTGAATGTAATGGTCACCAATCGGTCAGAGATATTATTGTAAAAAAAAAACCCTATACTGGTTGGCATATAATTGTACACATGCTCATCATCAGCAGCCATGATCTATCCACTGCTGTAGGAAGCCCCCCCCCCACCCCCCAAGCTATTCTCATCTATGAAGCGCAACAATCCACCGAGCTCTTACCCTCAAGCTGATTTATTTGCTCCATCTCCGTGATAGATATAGCTTGGAAAACTGAATTTAAATAACGAAACTTGACAATATACTACCAACGCAACTTAAGAAGAATGTTTATTTTTTTGAATATATCACGTGATAAAACGTATATCGGGAGCATGGACATTGATGAAGGAAATGGAACAGAAGCAAAATTTTGATTTAAAGCTTTCGTGACTGTAGTGATTCATATTCTTGGTTCTTTCGGTAAAGTCACGTTGAAGGGAAACAATAAAATAATAAAATATATATAAACAATAAAATAATAATATATATAAAACAATAAAATTCTCACGACGTTTCGACTGTAACACAAACACCTGATGATGACTGTTTGCGTTACAGTCGAAACGTCGTGAGAATTTTATTGTTTTACATATATTTTATTATTTTATTGTTTCCCTTCAACGTGACTTTACCGAAAGAACCAAGAATAGGAACAGAAGCTGTCAAGTGCACATTGAAACATGGAGAAGCGTGTGCTTGGATTCACACCGAGGGCCGGCCAAGAGGAATACGTGGATCAGAGAACATTCGGAAGTCAGAGATCTCATATCGGCATACCCTGCCAAATAAAAATGCAGATTATGTTAACATTTGGCCTCCGATAATGCAATGCTACAAATATTCCTCTCCTCGTGAGAAAGATAAGAGGGATATTTGTTATATTCCCCTGCCCCCTCATTGTTTTCCCTTGACATTACCTCCAATTTGTTTTGTTATTAAAAACTAGCCGGAAGTACCCGGCGTTGCCCGGGTCAAAAAAATATTTCAAAACTACTCTTAAAAATCTAACAGCAGTGCGTAATGACTGTGGTGGTACCTGCTATGATTACAGCAGTGCATACTGACTGTGGTGGTACTTGCTATGATTACAGCAGTGCATACTGACTGTGGTGGTACCTGCTATCACTACAGTAGTACATGCTGACTGTGGTGGTACCTGCTATAACAGCAGTGCATACCGACTGTGGTGGTACCTGCTATGATTACAGCAGTGCATACTGACTGTGGTGGTACCTGCTATCACTACAGCAGTACATGCTGACTCTATAGCAGTATTTATCGACTCAATAGCACAAAGTAATCACCTGACAGAGTGACGTGGTGAGGCCTAGTCCCGTGCAGAGCCTTCGGCTTCGCCTAGATTGTCCAGCCGGCCGAGGTGGCACCTTGGCAGGCTGGGACTGGGCTGCTACCCCTGACCCCCCCCAGCCACGATCTCCTCGGCCACTCTGCAGTAATATCTACGGCCTATAGTGGTAGCATCTAGCGACTGTATAGTAGTAACTGCACGCATCGGGGTGGGGGGGACATCACACAGTGAAGAATTTACCTCATCGTTTGGTGTATTTTTATAGCATTGTTAACGCGAAAACAAATGTCCCACCGAAGGCGTGGGACTTGGCATGGGCCGTCCTCCCCCACCAAAGGCGCGTGAGTTGGTATGCACGCGTCATAAATAAATAAATAAATAGAAAGATAGAACACACAAAAATCGCACTAAATCGCTAATTAAACTAATTAAAAGTTGACGGATGTGAAAAGGGAATAGCGCTTGCTCATGGCGGGGCTTCCGGCGTGGTACCTGGCTATTTTTATTTAACGTAAACCCCACCGTTGGAGAGCCAAATCCTTCACAAGCGCGCGAACACAAACAAACCCACACACAAACCCCGCCACAAACCCACAGACAAATTTTGACTTATATATATAGAAAATTGTGTGGAAAGTTTAGATAAAATGTTTTGTCATACATAAACAAAAGGTATGGACAACGGTTTGCTACGTAGGTTCCGCGAAATAAATTCAACATACCTACAAATTACATTATTTAGAAGTAAATACATTAAATAATAAACGGTCGAGAAGCACATTACTTATAAAGAACATAGTCACAGACCTGAATAAAAATGTAAGTGACACTGTGCATATTTAAAATTATTATAGATCTTTATTTTTAATAATAGGAACATTCGAAAAGGTGAATATATATTTTTACGTGATAAAAGATCAATAATTTTATTTGTATTCTCCTGAAATGCTCCTGGTATTTTTTTCCACACCTGCCTTGCCAGGACACAATGGAGCTCCTAACAGTCAAAACCCTTGTGATCAATTGTAAACTTGTAGATTCAAATCCTGGAGTGGGAGCATGCTTTTAATCCCATCGACCCATCTTTGGGTCAATACGAATGAGTGCTAACTTTTGCGACAAGTCAAGAGTGGTTGGTTGTCAAGTGGAGGAAATGGTCTAGCCACGCAAAAGTGGAATTTACAAAACTGGGTCACAGTGTGCGTGCGTGCTTTGGAGAGACAGGCACCACCACACGCTCGATTGAGCCGGGGGTGGTGGGGGGGGGGAGACACTTTGACTTGTCCACCACTGACACAGTTACACGATTTTTATAGGGACATTATTTAGACGGCTTTCACCTCAACGAAAACGACTCGACTCGTTGCAAAAAGGGATACGATGCCACGAAGATGCAATTATACACCACGTGAAGTGAAATTCCACTTGTACGGCAAAACGTAATGTATATTGATGTAGATGGCCTAATTTAAATGGAAGCCAAACGGATCAAATGTCAACGGATATTTATTTTTAATTCGACTGCAGCCGTGGGACACATACACACGAATGCACCTTGGTGCCCTTTAGCAGCTGACGTCAGTCTTGCCCCTCATGTCACAGCTTGGAAGGCTACGGCTCCACTGCACTGAACAGTGG